CATTTAAATTTTTCGAAAGGGTTGCTCCCCTCCAGTAAGGGATGAAATTCCGGGTAAACTATTCATACAAAAATGAACAAAAACCGATGTGTCTCGGCGATTTTCCTAACAAGACTCCAGTAATGAGTCAGATTGCGAAAAAGCCTTTGACACCGTATGGACCCGTGGATTAATACACAAAATGCTTGTATTAAAATCAACTCCACAATAACAGGACCTTTCCTAGCGCAGGCGGGAGTGCCCCAGGGCTCAGTACTTTCGCCGCATTTGTACACGATTATGACTTGTGCTTTACCTACCCATGGGTGATAATGGTGTACAAACGGCGTTGTACGCCGACGACATTTGTTTATTTTCTAGCCACAAATCTGCACAAATAGCCACCAGGAATCTGGACAGCCATATAAATGGACCGTTAATCTCTTATCTAGACAACAACAAAATCAAAATTAAACAATTCTTTTTTAACAAAGAGGCGGACTGAAGGAATAGACACGCCTCTTCGAGTGCTAAACCAGCCAATCGTGGCCAAGAACGCGATCAAATACTTAGGTGTTATTCTGGATAAGGTATTAACGTTTCGTCAACATACTAACGACAGGGTGACAAAAAGCTGCGGTATTATAAGGACACTTTACCCCCTTATTAATAGGCGTAGCAAAGTCACTTTGCCGAATAAAATTCTACTATACAAGTCGATATTTAGACCAATATGGCTGTCCGATTTTTTGCTCTATGGCACAAATTCATTGTAGCAAGCTACAAAGAGCTCAAAACAAATGTCTGAGCTAGTTCTGGGGTGCGATCGCTACACTAGAATACGAGACATGCACGCTACGACATATACCGACGACAGTAACAGGACCCTCCACTTTTCCATAACGTACTAAACAACAATTCACTCGATGTAGATACTTGCGAGATCTAGTCGGACGGACGACTGAACGATAGAACTGACTGACGGGACCATGGTCGATGGCGATTCCGTCCTCGACTCTGGCTCTTTCGGAGGATTTTTGTAGGTCAGTAGTCCTGTGAATTGTTACAATAACAACAGACTATCGAAAGACCAACGCACAATGCTGACAACCCTGTTTTTTCCTAGCTTTTTCAGGGGACAAAGACCAAATTAATCCACGACAAATCTTTAAACTATGACAATTACTGACTACAAAAACACCACAATCCCTCAATAATGCCTCTCTGGCAAGGAGTGAGGGCTGCTATGTTTAGCCTAACCTTACTTTTCAGCAGCTATATATAAAATAGGCGAATTCATCGTCATTGGCCCAGCAGGTACCTGCTACGCCGACTCAAAACCCTCGGGAATTGTGTTATTTATTTTATGTTATGTTGTAAATATATTATTCTATTATTTTGTAAATAAAGATTTCAAATGTAAAATGAGTTAGATAGGGGGGGTAAGACTTATGGTGCTCACTGTATATTTCAGGTCATGCTGCGCGTATTACCTAGTCATTACAGGGATTGCCAGCAAATGATGACTAGCAAATTCAGTCGCCTATGTTGTTATCCCGAAGTTAGTTTTGGTCTCTAGGTATCAATGAAGTGATTGATATTAATATTTTAATTATATGGTTTGTATGTTTGTAAAAACAAACCTTTCTCGTACAATAAAATATATTAACAAATATATAATTAGTGAAAACAATCGGTTTTAAAGTACGGAAACTGGTCGGTTGGAGATCAAAAAACTAAAATGTTAAATTCCAAAATCAACCCTATAAAATAATAAAAACTATTTTTTGAACCCCCAAAGGAACAATCTATCCACGATGTCTTCAAACCCACCTATCCAGGTTATATGTACATAGGTCTTACCAAATGAGCCATCAAGGACATAGTCATCGATATTCCAATTGTTAAAAGATTTAAAATCCAACCTCGTTTGATGAAATTTTTTTCAAAAAACCACTAATCAGCATCTTCTGAAAAAACATACTTGGCATACAGACACTTCCCCAGGTCAACTGTGTGTATTAAGTTTTCATTACAAGTAACAACGCAAACAAAGCTAGTGAAAACAATCGGTTTTAAAGTTGGAAACTAATATGTTATATAATTGTAATTGGAAAAGAGTTTTCTTTAATTCTTAAAAGTTATTTTGGGATTTGTTTGGGAATTTTCAAGGAATTTGAAATATATTATTCTTACATTTTAAAATCTTTAAAAAGAAACAAAACATTAAGTAGCTAATATACTATTTAAAACTAAGCAAAATATCGTACATTACAATAAAAATTAAATATTTATATTGCTGGTAAGTTTTTTACTGTCCTTTTTATATAAATAAGCAATTTAGCTTAAACTGTATTTAAATTTACTATACATCTATTTGTTACTCCTTGTATATACCGTCGACATATCCTAAAAGTAACTAAATCAAAAAACATTCCTCGTTATTTAGAACTTTTCCCTCTTCTCTTCCAGATACCACTTAAATGATAATCACCCTGTAAGCCATTTATATACACTAAATTTAATACTTCCATGAAAGTTTCTCTTTTGAAACGTGTTCCTTAACAAATGTGTTAAGTAACATGAGTATTCGGAAATTATACCCTTAATAAAGCTTTAGCTGCACATCTTAATAATATACGACAAGTTTCAGCGAGTAATTAGTTTTCTCAAGTTTCTAAGTTCATTTGTCAGACAAAGAAAATATTGCAATTATAAACAGCTGAAACTTAAGAGGAAGTTTATACTTTTGTGAAGAACATGAATTTCTAAATACGAATTTTAATTTGTTGTAGGATGTGGGAGAATAGAAGATACATCCACCATACAGACAAATAAGTCATTTATAAGTTTTCTAGGTTCGGGATATAGTGTTGAAGCATTTATTGTTTCTGTTAGAGCTACTTGCTTACTTATTTAGAAAAACGAGTATAAAAGAGTTAAAATCAAAATAAAAGAGTATAAAAAGTATGAAAGAGTGGAGTATAAAAGAGTATAAAAGAGTATAAAAAAGTATAAAAGAGTATAAAAGAGTATAAAAGAGTATAAAAGAGTATAAAAGAGTATAAAAGAGTATAAAAGAGTATAAAAGAGTATAAAAGAGTATAAAAGAGTATAAAAGAGTATAAAAGAGTATAAAAGAGTATAAAAGAGTATAAAAGAGTATAAAAGAGTATAAAAGAGTATAAAAGAGTATAAAAGAGTATAAAAGAGTATAAAAGAGTATAAAAGAGTATAAAAGAGTATAAAAGAGTATAAAAGAGTATAAAAGAGTATAAAAGAGTATAAAAGAGTATAAAAGAGTATAAAAGAGTATAAAAGAGTATAAAAGAGTATAAAAGAGTATAAAAGAGTATAAAAGAGTATAAAAGAGTATAAAAGAGTATAAAAGAGTATAAAAGAGTATAAAAGAGTATAAAAGAGTATAAAAGAGTATAAAAGAGTATAAAAGAGTATAAAAGAGTATAAAAGAGTATAAAAGAGTATAAAAGAGTATAAAAGAGTATAAAAGAGTATAAAAGAGTATAAAAGAGTATAAAAGAGTATAAAAGAGTATAAAAGAGTATAAAAGAGTATAAAAGAGTATAAAAGAGTATAAAAGAGTATAAAAGAGTATAAAAGAGTGTAAAAGAGTATAAAAGAGTATAAAAGAGTGTAAAAGAGTGTAAAAGAGTATAAAAGAGTATAAAAGAGTATAAAAGATTATAAAAGAGTATAAAAGAGTATAAAAGAGTATAAAA